CCCGAGTTATGCATGAGTGCCTTACAGGGCCTGAGTCAGGCCATGAAACTGCCCAGCCCTGCCCACCACCTCTGGAGTCTGCTCTGCGAAGCCACCGGGAAGATTTTTGACCTTCTGCCAAAGAAGATTCGGGTGAGGAACAAAAATATTTACATTCCTGACCATTTATGTTTGGGATTTTTTTTAAGCCCTTTTGGCAAAGCAGGGAGGTGTATGTTTTAAGAATGTGGTGGGAAGGCTAGGAAGAAAATAACCGCATTTTGCACTAAGAATGTGTTTGCTTCCAAGATCTAAATTGAGGTTGAATATTTAGAACCAACGTTTTGAGCAAGCTTAGAAACGGGTTAACCAGTGCTACACCAGGAAATATGCGGCCAGGCCTTTTACCAGATGCCTGTCGGAGACGAACAAGCACAGAAACCCTTACGCGTTAGACCTGGAGAATCTCTGAGCATGTTGTCCAATATATGACTTCTATCAAGTGACGCAATATATTTCTGAATTATTTAACTTCTTTGCAGCTTTACGAAGAAGTTAAAAATCTGTGTGGAATGATGGATTCTGATAAGGAGAAAAAGTGCAGCCGAACAAAATAATAGGAAAGATTGTGTCGTTGCTGCTGTTTTAAAGTAAGCTCTATGCGCAACGTGGGGCTTGAACTCAAGACCCTAGGTCAAGTGTCATGTGGTCTACTGACTGAGCCAGCCAGGTTGCCCCGGAAAGATGGGTTTTTTTAGTGCCAAAAACTGGCCATATGTTCTGGTTTGATTAAAATCTCAGAGACTACTGTTCATGGAGATAAGCAAATCTAATAATTTGTCGGAACATTGAGAATATATCTGTTATCTTACGTTGTATTTTGACCTGCTTGTGATTTTTCCTTACCAGAGAAATGATCTAGAGCTATATATCAGCGTAGCAAAATGCCTCTCAGAAATGACAGATGATGAAGCCAATCGAGTTGCCCAGATTACTGAGGTAATAACATATTTCTGTATTTATTTCCATTATTGAAGTGGGACTTACAGTTGAAGAGATGGTTTATCCTTTTTGATTGAAGCTACTTTTGCCTCTTCTTTCTTACTGGATAATTTCAGGAAACTATCCCTGCTTCACTGTGGGGTCTCATGCTCAGCCTCATGGAACGGATGGATAGATAGATGAATGGCTTTTTAACCTACCTAATCCCACTTTGTCAAGAACATTTTAGTGTCACCTGTGGGCAAACGTAAGCGCAGGGCAACGTCTTCAATACCAAATCCAGAAGCATGGGAATATTCTGGCTGAAAAGCTTGCGGTGCGCGGAAACCATGAAGTAGTCTTATTTTTAAATTTATTTTCTCTCACCTGGTACTTATCCTTTTGTAATGAAGAAAGGTGGCTAATTGAAAAACAAGCACCGTTAGCACGGACACAGCTAATGAACAAGTGCTCCTGGTACCCACACCCAAAGGATGAGTGAGTAACATACCAATAAAGTTGCCACATTTAGTTAGCATGATAGATGTCTTATTAGATTTGAATTGCCTGTAAACAATGATTTTTTTTTTTTTTAGTATAAGTATATCCCAATGGACATACTTATTCCAATGGCAACCCTGCATACCAGGTAATAGCAAAGGTCTAGAGAATTATGGGCCCTTATCCAGCTGGTGGACCTCTTACCATTTATTTCGCTCAAGATGGCAGGTTCAGTTGAATCCTTGAATTTCTGCATCGTGTAGCACTGATTCTCAAAATGGGGTCCCTTGGACCCAGCAGCATAAGCCTGGGAGCTGACTGGAAATGAAAATTCTAGAGTCCCACTTCAGGTCTGCTGAGTCAGAGGTGGGGCCCAGGAGTGTGGTTCAACAGTCCCTCCAGGTGATTGTGCTGCATCCTGAGGTTTGAGAACCCCTGCTAGACCATTTGGAATATCAGGTTTTGGAGAGGAGTTGAAGCAAGGACGAACACTATGAGGAAACGCGTGAGAGAAGGAACTATAGAGCCTCACTGGTCGGGTTTGAAATCAGCTCTGTAATTTACTAGCAGTGTGACCTTGGTCACGTTTCATAACCTGCCTCAGTTTCCGCATCTACGAAAGAAAGATAATAGCACCTACCTCCTAGAGTTGGTTTGAGAGTTACAATGACTTAATCCATGTTAAGTTCTTGGAAACATACCTGACCTGAGGCGAGCACTCAGTAATTATTCATTATCCTAATTATCACATTCGTGTAATCTATTACATCCTGTTATTATGATATTCGTGTAATATAGTTGGAAGCAATGCATGTAATTTACTTCGCGGTACCTAGAGCCAAAGGTTGCTGTGGTACTCACCCGGGTTCTTAAAGTACCAGTTAGAACATTTTCACGTTCTAGCGAAAATAAGTTCTATTATTCAATAGTGTTCTGAGGTCCCCGAAAGTGTGTTTTACCGAGGTCCGTGCTTTTTACTCATTTCTGGAAGGAATGGAGGTTAGAATAAGGCAGTGGTGAAAAGCTCAGACCTCCTGGTTTCACTTCTCACTCTGCCAGTGTAGCCACGTGACCTTAACTGAGCAAGTTACTTAACCTCTGTGCTTCCGAAGGGAAGGATGATGGTAGTCGTCTGCATCGGGTGGTGTGAAAATTAAATGGTCAATACAGGGCTTCTCGAACTTGCTGGTCTCAGGAGTACTTCATTGTCTTAAAAGTTGTTGAGGATTCCAAAGGGCTTTGATTTAAATGGGTCCTCTCTTTCAGTAAATCCATTGCATCTCAGTATAAATAAGAATTTTTGAAAACAAAATGAAAAAGTGACATTGTTTTACATTTTTTGCCGATCTGTTTCCTCCATCTGTCCTCTCGTCGAAATTTCTTTAATGTTGACTTCTGGCTGCTGCTTCACTTAATCTGTTGCAATGTTGTTTTGGTGAAGAATGAGGGGGGAAATGTAGCCTCATAGAAATAATGTCGGTAGAAAAGGGAACAGTGTGTCAATAGTTACAGATAATTATGGATTTTTTGTTGTTGTTGATGTTGCAACAAACTCAACAAACCGTGTTTTCTTCGGGGTAGTTGCAGGGTGTAGAATGTGAATTCATGTCAGTGAACTTGACATACTCTGCTATATTAAACTCCATCGGTCTGTCTTGCACTGTGGGTCTTCTCCCCAACGTACGATATTACAAAATCATTTGGAAAATACCGAATCACTGAGTCTTGAAAGTCCTCCACACGTTGATCCATTTCATTATTCCGTATCAAAACATCACGTTGGTTAAAATCCTCAGAAAAGCCTTTTATGCATTGTGAAGCTGCCAACTCATCGTAGCAAATACAGATTTTCCAAAAATCAGATTTTCACGTGAAAGCTCAGGTTTTATCATTGGCAACAAATACTGCCAAGTATTTCCTCGAAGCGACAGGCCCACTTTCTTTGACTGAAAACAACAACGACAATAGCCTGTTAAATACTCAGTCTGAATAACCATAGTTTGTCCATCCTTCGTCCTTGCAGGTCAGTGGTGTTCCATAAAAAACTGGCCGTTTTGAGTTCACAGCGCAAACTCACAAGTGTTTTCCCTGGAGACAACCCTCCTACTTGGGTATGCCGCAGAAAGCCCTTCTGCGGACTTCCTGTTTTATACAGGCTATTAAAAAGATGTGTACTCAAGGGCAAAGGTGTGATGAAACTAATAATTGTCATTGTTTGCAAGAGCATTTTAAATAAAACTTGGTTTTTAAAAAGTTGCAAGTAGCAGCGACAAATACAGCGACTGTTACTGGAGTTTGGGCACTAGTGTGACTATAGTTTGACCCCACAGACCCTTTAAAAGGGTCTTGGGGTCCCTCAGAGGTCTGGGTACCGCACTTTGTGACCTGCTGAGTTAATACACGTTAATGGTGCCTGGCACGTAAGTACCGTGTTTGTTAGTTGTCGTTATTATTATTTGTGTGTTCTTACAAAATATCACCACCGATCAACCCCTGAAATCACTTACGGTTTTTATGAGAAAACGGGAGGTGACATTACAACCTTCCATCTGTACGTACACTTTAAAATCTAGCACACGAGGCAGATAGGTCACACGCTGCAGGAAACGAACAGTTTTAGCATTCGGAATAATAACCCACTTTAAACTCACCCTTTCTGCTTTGCCCTTGCCTCGAGGTTTCATAATGACTTCAGCTAATTTAATAGTAACAGAACAGTTTGCTTTTTTGCAGAGCAGCGTAGAAAAGGCTGCCTTTGTCAGACTGTACTTGGTCTCTCAAGGACGATTCCCCTTGACGGGCTTGACTGATATACTCAGCGTTGCTATTCAGCACCGTGAAAAAGACACACTAGCTTGGATGGTACTGCACGGTTTATACCAAGCCCGGATTGTGAGCCATGCCAACACAGGTAAGGCCAGCCCGGGGCGAACAGCAGAAACCGAAAGATCTGCCTGCCTACCTTCCCCTTTGAGCTATAATTATTTCCTCCACTTCAAAACTAGGTTAATGCTTCTTGACACAGGAGAGCTCTTGTTACCCCCCCCCAAAGAAGAGCACCTTAAGTGGAAAGACCTGTTCCAGCTCCCAACCCCCACCTCGGAGATAGAAATGGATTCCGCTGGTGGCTTTCATATTGTCTTTAGCCCTCTGGGCCCTCGAGGATATCAACAAGTTCATCAGGTTGATTCTGCCTGCTTCCATTACCCAAACAGGATGTCAATTGATTCTGCCTCATGTTTTCTTGAGAATGGCCCTTGGGTGGTTATTTACCGAACAAGTAAAAAAAAGAAAAAGAAAACAGCCACAACAAAATTACATCGTTATTCTAGAAGAGAACTTCTCAAGGGTGAGAGGGATAAAATCTGGGCGCCCTGACTGCGTCCTCAAGCCCGAAGCTCTAGGCCTGAAGCTCTCTCTGCTAGTGAATCAGACGGCAGAACTTTTAGACCGTCGTGGACATTTATACTTTAATAGTCATCTGAAAGGGCAGCTCCCCATTTCTCCTCCCACACTTTTGGTCACGTTGCGTGACGTCTACGTTCTTTTCTGAATGACGCCCGGCTTCGGTAGATCAGGTAGGACCTGGAAACCCGAGTGCCCCTAGGCAACTTCTGGTTCTGTATCGTCCGTATTTTCCTCATCATCTTGTATCTTCAAGGTTGTGAGTGAAAACCGGCAGGCAGAATTGTAGTGCCCTTTGTGAGACGGTACAGGAAATTTTGATTTGTTCTCCTCTTTGGCAATCGAGATGGTTGTCTCCTATCCGCATTAGAGTCTGCCCAGTGAAAAATGACCCTGTGATGAAAAGCTAGATTTTTTACTCTAAATCAAAAGTGCATTTATCAAGAAGAAATCTACTAGGTGTTCCCAGTGAAACACGAGGATACGCAAAGTGAACTGAACTCAATTTGATAGGGCCTTTGGGTCTAAGTAGCTGGCCTTCCCATTTAATTCTTGTTCTCCTTTTCCTCACTTAAATTTGACAGCCTTCCCAAGTAATCTTTACTGTGCTGGGAATTCTCCTTTTTAAAAAATAAAAAAGGAAAAAAAAATCAATATTTATGCTGGTGTTTGTCCCCCAGTTACTGTATAATAGCTGGCTTTTATTTTTCTTTTTATGTCTTTGGGATAGGCTTTCTCCGGGATTTGGGCATAAAATGGGAACATCTAAGTTAAAGGAAGACCTATAAAAACAACAGTCAACATTACTGACTTGGCATGCCAGATTTCTCCTCGTGTGTTTAATGCTGAGAGAGAAACTCCAATAAGTGCATTTTATCACTAGTGGGGGCGCAGTTTTGAAGAACAGATTACCTTTTGAAAAGAAAGACACAAATACGGTCCCTCTGACACGCAGAGCGTCAAAGAACTCTCACCCAAAATCACAGGTCTCGCGTATTGCAAGAGGATTTGAAACCGTTTCATGGAATCCTCACTGGGTGTTATGCTTTAGTTATGATGGCTATTACTGATGGGTCTTACATTTCATAGGAAAACCGTGGTCTGGTACAAAAACATCCTTTTCTGTTTCAGGCGTGTTGAAGAGAATGGAATGGCTCTTGGAACTGATGGGTTACATCAGAAACCTTGCATACCAGTCTACCTCTGTTCAGA